ACCCTGTGACATAGTGGGGGGTACCTTGCTGGTTGCTATGCTGGGCAGTGGGTTGTGAGTGACCTCCACTGGCTGCTGGCTGCAGCACAGCCCAGCAGAGCAGGGGATGAGTCATTATGCAAGGGGGCTTCAAACCTGTCTGACAAGTTATCTCCCAGGGAGCGGAACAATGGGAAGAAGGGGAAAGGAGCTCTGGCTGGGGGCAGGGCTGGAAGTGAGTGAGTTAGGTTTCTGGCTGGTATCATGGAGGAAGCAGCCTAGGCAACGGGCTGGGATTTAGAGGCTCAGGCTCCCCCATCTCAAGGGGGGCTGAGGCATCCAAGGCCTGCCCTGTAACCAGATTACAACTGTGCTGTGCTGTATCCTGGAGAAGCAATAAACTCCCTCTATTCTACTGGCTGCTGGAGTCTGTCCGTGCCGTTACAGGGGTGCAGAAGATGGGAAAACCCCAATGCGCTGTCACACACCCATTCTGGGAAACAAAAGCTAGGGACACTATTCCTGCCCAATCTGGCTAGTAGACATTGATGGACCTATCCTCTTTGAACTTATTTTGTGCTTATTGGAACCCTGTTACAGTTTGGGTCTTTCCACCATCTCCTGGCAAAGTATTCCACAAGTTGTTTGTGAAGAAATAATTTGTTTTAAATCTGCTGCCTATGAATTTAATTTAATTTTTGTTATTTACTCCATCACTAACACAACACATTTCCTTATTTTATTCTTCCACACAATACATGATTTTCTAGACTGCTAACATATCCCCCATCCTTTACTCATTTCTTTTCCAACCTGAAAAATCCCATTCTTGTTAATCTCTCATCATATGGAAGCTGTTCCTCACCCCTAATCATTTCTGTTGCCCTTTCAGTACCTTTTCCAAATCTAATATATCTTTTTTTTTTAAATTGGGTGACCAAATCTGCATACAGTATTCAAGATGTGGGCATACCATGATTTTATAGAGAGGCAATATGATCTTTTCTTATCTATTCCTTTCCTAATGATTCCCAGTTTTCTGTTAGTTTTTAAATTTTTAGACTGCCACTGCACATTGAGCAGATGTTTTCAGAGAACTATCCACAATGATTTAAAGATCTCTTTCTTGAGTGGTAACAGCTATTTCAGACATCATTTTTGTGTGAATAGTTGGGATTATATTTTCCATGTCCATTACTTTGCATTTCCCAGCACTGAATTCCATCTGCCATTGTGTTGCCCAATCACCCAGTTTTGTGAGATTTCTTTTTACCTCTTTGCAGTCAGCTTTGGACTTACTACAAAATTACTCAAAATAGTTATCTGAAATTTTTGTCACATTGCTGTTTACCCCTTTTTCAAGAACACAACAATACCAGCAGCACAATAATCATTGCTACTCCCTCCCATCTCTTAAGTACCTGACAATGTTTTCATGATGCTCTAATGATCCTTCAATTACTAGAATGACTAGTCTTTTGTTATTCTTAATCACCTCCCTCCTTCTTTTTATAACAAACTCCTGCAAGCAGCTCAAACTCTGTTGCATTTAAGAATTGCCTCAGTAGCCAGTGTGTACAGCTTTAAGCAGACCTAAAATAAGAAATCCAGGGGTTCAAACTTTCAAAGGGGTCTATTCCTTCCTCCCCCTTCTGGGGGCACCTATGGCTGGAGGAGGTAATGTATTTAATATGATTCGATCAAGATCTTGTTTTGATGTTGCTTTTAGATTTAAGATGATCAACTCCTGTGCTAGAGATTCTCCTTTATCTGCTGGGCTGCACCCCACCTTCCTTAGTATATGGATTTTTCTAGGACATATGTAGCCTTCAGCACAAAAGACTGCCAATCTAGGGCCCAATTCTGCAAGCCTCTAATTCGAAAAGCCTTTATGTCAGCAGTCCATTTGCTGTACTTTCATGAGTGTTTGGAAGATTAGGTCTTAGTCAGCTTAGAATAGGTTTAGATTATTTCTTCTTTTAGATCTAAATGAGGATCAGAAGTAACACTGTATTAACCTTGAAGGATACTATAGTTCCAGATTGCAATAGCATATTTCACATACGACTAAGGAAACCCCTAGTATTAGTATTTACTAATTAAGGGCCTCTTCCTGCACCTGCTGAAGTCAAAGACAGTTTTACTATTTTCTTCAGGGAGAGCAGGATCAGCCCTTATTGGATGATGTTTGAGCAGGAGCACTAGAACTGAGCTTCTGGAAGTGTATCCATTATATCTCATTATTTTCAGAGTTTTTATTATTCATCTTTTTAAAAATAAATTATGTGCAAATTGGCAAAAAAGGTTTTAGCTTCAAAACAATAATAAAAAAAACTGAAAGAAAATCATTTTAGCCATTTTAAAACTGCCAGAGTTTAAATTATCCATTGATCCAGTCTGGAATGTTTGGATTTGGATCCAACGTCCAGGAATGTTCAGGATTTGGGTTCAGGCTCATCTCAATAGGTGATTTGGAGACAGCATCTGCTCTGTCTCTAGATCTTGCACACTATTTACAATATTACTGTATATATTATGTAAAGTGTGGGAGGCAAAGTTCTGATTTGGATATAAAACTGTCAGGTAAAACTGTCAATTTCTTACCTGAATGAAATGAAAATAGGTGCCTTGTCTTTTTATTTGGCATCAGGTGTTTGAGGTCTTTGGCTGAACTCGGGGCACATTTCTAGCTTTTCTCCACAAACCATGAGACCTAAACCTTTGCTCACACATGTAGGCCTCACTTGGGCTACTCATTCATATAGCTTAATGGGAAGACTTGCATGAGTAAGGACTACTTCCTTGAGAAAAAGCTGCAGTATCGCACTGAAGACATCCATAATAGAATTGGAAGTAGTCTGCTCTCATGGTACCAAAATACTTAAAGGAATGATAGTAACTCAGATGCCAGTGTGCTCATCAGCTGTGACAAATGGTACAAATTAAGTTTTATATTGTAATATATGAGGTGGTACTATAACAAACTCCATTCATAACAATACAAAAAGGCCAATGCTAGATGCCACCTGTAGTGCACAGTTCTTGGTAATGTAATTGACTTGTTTTTGTTTGCATGCCTTGATCAGCAGCAAAATATGATGTTGATATTGATTAAGTTAACATTAGGTTTCAGAGTTAATATCCACAGAGATAAATGGGGATTCTTCACATCTTATTCAGCAGGTGTCTCAAATCTGCAGTCTGAGCGTTTCCCCAATCCAACCCTCACACATGGTTCCCAGCAACACCTAGGCCCAAGCACCCACTGGCTGCAGAGAACACTGTTAAGTCCAAGAAGTTGCTCTGGCTGCCTCTGCCACAATGTGAACTGCTCTGGCCAGGGAATCTCCCACTTTGACGTGCTTCTACAGCCAGTGGGTTTTGCCTTTCAGTTAACCCCAGGCTGGGGTGAAAATCCCAGCACAAGGATGCAGATGTTAATTATCATGGGTGGGAAGGCAGGGGCCTATCATGAAGATACAGATGTTAGGGGGGACAGGGAGATTCCAGTGCAAGCATGTGGATGTTAGCAAGGGGGCATCCCAAAGTGAGAATATGAGGGTGTCAGAGTGAGCACTCAGTTTCATGTCTTTTTTAGGATCCTGGTCTCCATTTGGGTTCTTAGTGAAATACACTTGGGAATCTTTTTATTTGGCACCAGGTGTTTGAGGTCTTTGGCTGAACTCGGGGCACATTTTCTAGCTTTTCTCCACAAACCATAAGACCTAAAGTCTTTCTTTAAAAAAAAAAAAAAAAAGGCTGGAATTCTCTTCTAATACCATGCACCAACAAACAAGCATAATCTATTAAGTCAGAGCAATCACAATTGATAGCCATGAGGCATCGGGTTGTGAAGTTCCCAAATTTGTCTTAATTCTAATAAAGGGCTTTTCAGAAAAAAATTAAAAAAGCCCCAATTGTCAGGAGGCTTGTGATATCAGGAGAGTTGGCAACGCTGATACCAGTTTCACAGCTTACACCTAAGGACGGGTCGGTTCTGCACATACCTCCCCTGGCCACAAAGACGTGCTGGCAGCAACATGGAACTAGCAGCAGGAAGCCACTCTGGCTCCGCTGCACTGCTGGTGTTGGCGATAGAGGCCCCCAGCGGGTTTTAAATAACCCAAAGGTGGCAGGTGGGGCGGGAGTGTGCAGGCCACCAGGAAGGGTCAGGGGACGTGTGTGTGTGGGGGGGGGAATGTGCACAGGCCTCCCCCCCCCCACCCTCCTGGAGCTTTGCCAGAGGAATTGCCCACTGGCCCGCTAAGAGGATTTAAGGACTGACAATGGCCCTAAGGTAAACTGAGTTTGAGACCCCTGTTACACAGCTATTGTTTCATGCTAACTGAACACTCTGACATTTCTGACTTGGTTTACGTACAGTTCACATCATGAAGGTTTTGTATGCAACTATATGGTCTACATATTCTGTGGGTTTTTTAAACAAAGGTTTGGAGTGAATAAAGTTAGAGCTCCGTGCTTTGCTCACATGCTGCTGTGAGCTTGTTCAGTCTGAACTCTTAGCATACATCTGGAGAAAATGTATGCTAATATAACATTATGGTTGAGATTCTACATGTACAAAGTCCCAATGCAGAGAGCAAAGCAGCAGGCTATTGGCATTCCCTCTGCTTGCCCTAATCACATACTGTGTATATGCACCCATACAGAGTAACTAAAACCAGTGGGGTTTTGTATATCATTTAGGCTAATGAAAGATTAATAGAAAATGCAGGAAAATAAACATATGTAGAATTTCTATGGAGCTTAGTAAAGAAACCAAAGGACTGGGAAAAGCAACGGACATTTATTATTTGAAGAATGAGTATGTTAGCACAAATCTGAACTACAATGCTGGATGTGTTGATTCATACTGATCCTTTTGGCAATTTAAAACTCTGTATGGTTTTCCAGCGAAGCTGGGAAATATGTAACCAATGATAAATTCTGTATTATACTATTTATTGCTTCATATTTTGGCTGCAAGGCAAAGTAGAGAGCGGTGGCTGTTACCCAGAGGTATGGCTGGCAGATACGATAGGCAAGAGAAGGGTAAGTATTCCCTGCTGCCAACCCTGCACTGGACACCTAGGCTGTGTATGCCCTGACACTTCACCACACCCTCTCCCCACTTTTGAATTCTGCACTGCTCATCCATCCCTGCTCTGGGGCAAGCCAGCAGGAGGCCAGTCAGGGGTGTCTGTCAGGTGAGTGAGGCAGCTTAGCCAGGCGCTGCCCAGTGCTGGAGCATTTGGTAGTTTGGGTGAGGGTCAGTGCCTTGGCCCAGTGCTTGGGAAGTGGGAAGCTTGGAACAGCATGGGAGCTGGCCTGGTGGCTCTCCCCACTACTGAGACTAATCCATTGCTTGGGGGCTGGCACACGAGCCCGGAACTTCAGCCCAGCGCTGGGACTTTCGGGCTGGTGGCTCTGCCTGCCCCTGGAGCCAGCCCAGCTTAGCTGGTAGATAGTGGCTTTTGGGGTGGAGAGGCAAGCTGTTCAGCATGCACTCAGCAGGGGGAGGAACTTGGACCAGTGCTAGGATTGGGCTGATGTTTGAGGGGCTGGCATCTTGGCCTGGCACTGGAATCTCATCTGAGGTTGGAGTGGACTTGACCCAGTGCTGGGGCCTGGCCTGTGGCTTGGAATGGCAGGGAGAGGCAAGGTGGGGCTGCTCCAGTCATGGGGAGGACCCTTCAGAGCTCCTCCTATTTAGGCAGGGGGAGTTACAGTAGTTCTGGTGTGTGGGAACAGGGTCTTGTGCAGAACGGTGGGGCTGGCAGGCTAGCCTCCTCAAAGCAGGGGTTCACTCACTGTCCAGCCCCAGCCATCTTGGTAGCTCACCCCAGACATGGGTGGTGTGGCACTCACCAGGTCAGCATGGGGAACGAGGCTGCCCATGCTCTACCAACATTCAGAACATGGGGGCCTGGCTCCATTCATGTTTGGGGGCCGGCTTCCACCATGGCCCCGCTTGCCACCCACGTGCACCTCTCTCACAAGGTCCCTGTGCCCCGGGCAGTGGCTGGGGGTGGCAAGCTCCTACTCAGCCAGAGAAGCCCCTAGAATTCCCCCCACCTGCACGGAAGAGCCTTAGGGCAGCTGCAGCGATGCCACCCCAATCTGCTCTGGGGAAATCTGCAGCATCTCTTGATTCAAGGATGCTTTTGATCCTCATTCAGGTTCTGGCGTGGCTGAGGCAGTGGTATTTTCTACTCCGCTGCTTCAACCACCCCGGAACCCAGATGTTTTCCCCCAGAGCAGGCAGAGCTACCACAGCAGCAGCCAGTGCCTCCAT